CAGGTCATCTGTTCAAAACCAGTTAGCGATTTATCATTTCTCTTCCCAGAAAAATATATCTGTGCCTGTATCTAGTCACTAGTGTATACTATTGTATAAGTACAAGAGTGTTAGACACAGAATGGGAGAAATGATTGTAAATCAGATCATGTATCTGATGAAGGACTTGTATCTAGAATTGATATTATAAATGAAGTCTTACAACCCGATTATAAGAAAAGAAATGGTCCAAAAGAAGAAATGGAACAACTGAACAGACCAATTACAAGCAGCGAAATCGAGGCAGTAATCAAAGCACTCCCCAAAAACAAAAGCCCAGGCCCAGACAGCTTCACAAATGAATTCAACCAAACATTCACAAGTGAATCAGTGCCTGTCCTACACAAACTCTTTCAAAAAAATTGAAAAAGAAGGAATACTACCAAATACGTTCTACAAAGCCAACATTACACTAATACCAAAACCCAAACAAAGACAGCACAAAAAAGGAAATTAACAGGCCAGGTCCTCCCTGGAGGCGCTAGGGGTTAAGCACCACACTATGAAGTAATCCACAGCCTCTGCAGCATGAGTTTGATCCGGGGCCGGCCAGGGAGCAACCAACATGGTGCAGCAGACCTATCCTGCCTTGCCCACTGCTCCCCTCAGCAGAATGTTTCAGTCTGTCTGTCTGTTCTGTTCCCCATTCTGTCTCTGGTGAATCCTCTCACCCCCTACATCTCTACATCTCTGCCCTGTACCCCAGCTCTTGTATGCATAAATAAATAAACTTAAAAAAAAAGAGAAAATAACAGGCCAATCTCCCTAATGAACACTGATGCAAAAATCCTCAACAAAAATCCTTGCCAACAGAATCCAACAATGCATCAAAGGGATAGTATACCACGATCAAGTGGGATTCATCCCAGGGGCACAAGGATGGTTCAACATATGAAAATCAGTAAGTGTAATCCAACACATTGACAGAGAGAAAAATAAAAACCATATGATCATATCAATAGATACTGAGAAAGCATTCGACAAAGTCCAACATTTATGATGAAAGCCTTTGAAATTCTCGGGATGAAAGGAACATACCTTAACATGATAAAAGCCATATACAACAAACCCACTGCCAACATTATTCTCAAAGGTGAAAAGCTGAAGGCCTTTCCTTTAAGATCAGGAACAAGACAAGGTTGTCCTCTCTCACCACTGCTCTTCAATATAATAATGGAGGTCCTATCCAGGGCAATAAGACAAAAGAAAGACATACAAGGAATCCAAATAGGGAAAGAAGAAGTCAAACTATCACTATTTGCAGATGATATGATAATATACATAGAGAACCCTAAAAACACCACAGAAAAACTACTCAAAATAATCAACCAGTTCAGGTGAATTCTCTCACCCTCCCACGCTTCTGATTGTACCCAGTGCATGTATAAACAAACAAACAAACAAATAAATAAAAACATGCCTCTATTTTAAAAAAAAAATAATAATCAACCAGTTCAGTAAACTAGCAGGATACAAAATCAAGCCACAAAAATCAGTAGCCTTCCCATACACAAACAATCAATCGGAAGAAGGAGAAATCAAGAAAACCATCCCTTTTATAATTGAAACCAAAAAAATCAAATTCTTGGGAATAAACATCAAAAAGAGGTGAAAGACCTATACAAATAAAATTATAAAACACTGTTAAAAGAAATTAAAGAAGACACAAAGAAATGGAAATACATTCCCTGCTCATAGATTGGAAGAATCAACATTATTAAAATGGCCATCCTCCCAAAAGCAATATACAGATTCAATGCTATTCCAATAAAAATCCCAATGACATTCTTCAAAGAAATAGAACAAATACTGATGAAATTCATATGGAACCACGCAAAAAAAAAAAAACCACGAATAGCCAAAGTTCTACTGATGAAAACAAAGGAGAAAAAAGGTATCACACTTCCAAACTTCAAGCTATACTACAAAGCCATAATAAATAGAACAGTTTGGTATTGGAACAAAAACAGACACACAGACCAATGGAACCATACAGAGCCCAGAAATAAAGCCACACTTATATGAGCAACTAATCTTTGACAAAGGAGCAAAGAATATGTAATGGAACACGGACAGTTTGTTCAATGAATGGTGCTGGGAAAACTGGACCTTCACATGCAAAAAAATGAAAATAGACCAGTACCTCTCACTGTGAACAAAAATCAACTCAAAATGGATAAAAGAACTGGACATAAGACCTGAAACCATAAAATATATAGAAGAAAATATAGGTAAAACACTATTAGACATACATCTCAGACATATCTTTAAAGACTCATCACCCAAGGCAGTGATAGTGAAGGCAAAGATAAACACCTGGGATTACATCAAACTGAGAAGCTTCTGTACAGCCAAAGAGACATTAACCAAAAGAGAGAGACACCCTACTGACTGGGAAAAAAAATCTTTGCACTCCATTGAACTGATAAGATACTGACAAAAAAGATATACAAAGAACTCACATGACTCAACAAAAACAAAAATAAACAATCCAGTCAAGAAATGGGCAGAAGAACTCAAAACACATTTTTCCAAAGAGGAAATGCAAATGGCCAACAGGCATATGAAAAAGTGTTCAACATTCCTTATAATCAGGGAAATGCAAATCAAAATCACATTAAGATACCACCTTACACCAGTAAGAATGGCACATATCAAAAAAACAAGCCACAACAAATGTTGGCGAGATTGTGATGAAAAAGGAACTCTCCTACATTGCTGGTGGGAGTGTAAACTGGTCCAACCACTATGGAAAGCTGTCTGGAGATTCCTCAGTCTACTAAAAATGGAGCTACCATAGGACCTGGCAATTCCACTCTTAGGGATCTACCCAGAGGACACAAAAATAGTGATTCAAAAGAGCACATGTACACCTATGTTTATTGCAGCACTATTTACAATAGGTAAAACCTGGAAACAACCAAATCCCCCAAAATAGATGACTGGATCAAGAAGATTTGGTGTATATACACAATGGAATATTATTCAGCAATCAAAAAAGATAAACTCATGCCATTCGCAGCAACGTGGATGGAGCTAGAAGGAATTATGCTCAGTGAAGTAAGCCAGAAGGAAAAAGAAAAATAATAGAAGGTTTCACTTATAACAGGAGCATAGGGGAACTAAATAAGACATCAGTGTAAAAAAATAATAACAGTACAAAACACCACTGAGCAAAAACAGACAATTATAAACCAGAGACATCCTGCAGGGGAGCCTGAGGGAGAGGAATGGGAGGGAGAGAGGAAGGAGCACAGGGGTCTGTGGTAATGGTGCATGGGTGCGTTGGGGAAGGAAATTCTATGCGGACTCAAACTGAGGGGGTGGGGGGGAAGCAACTATTGTTTTAAAATTTTTTCTAATGTTAAAATAAAAAAATAAATAACAAAAAAAAGAAAAAAAAATGATCCAATGCAAACAACAGACAAAAGACTTCACCATTGAAGGATACAGATGCCAAATAACTGTGATGCTCAATATTACAGGTCATTAGGGAAAGACAGACTAAAAACAACAATGATACCACTACATGCTTATTAGAAGGCAAAAGTCCCCCTAAAATGGGCAACAGCAAGTGCTGACTGCAGCACAGGACCCCTCATCACTGCTGGCAAGATAGGATGACCCAGTCACTCGGGACAATCTAACATTTCTTTTAAAGTCAAACACAGAAAAATCATACAGTCCAGTGAGCACTGCCCTTGCCATTTATCCAACTAATCTGAAAACTTGTATTTGAAAATCAACAAAGAAAACTAAACCCAAAACCCTGCATGGAAGTAAATGTTTATAGCAGAACCCCCACAAAGTGTGAGCTGCCCATAGTGACTTCCTTCCAAAGACAACAAAAGGCAACTAAAGGCAGGAAAAACGAAAGTGCATGTGTGTGCACCTGATGTGCTGCTGGAGGACAGCCTCAAATGGAGGCCATTGTGCCTGAGCAGCTCTGCTCACAGTGTCATCAGAAGAGGAAAGTTTGAGAAACTGTCAGCCAGAGGAACTAAGGAGACGTGGTTGGAACTTCATGTGGTGTCCCGGGAGGGATTTCAGGGCATGAAAAGAGCATTAGGAAAAAAAATTAATGAAATGCAAATAAAGAGCAGAATTTAGTGAAAGTGCATCCATATTGTTTCCTCAACTGCTCAAATGCACTGTAGTCACGTCAGATGCTAACAATTTGGAAATGATGTGGGTTATATAGGCACGTTTGCCATGTTTCTGTAAATCTGACAGTATTTTTTTAAATGTTGTTTTAAATTAAATTTTAAATTAAAACAACATTTAAAAAAATAGCCCTCAACAAAATTATAGGTTGCAAAAGGAAAAATGATTACTTCCCATTTTTCCCAGGTATTGCTTTCAAGGGACTAGAGGGAAGAATTCTGAGAGAAAAGCTGGACACCTCACACCCAGGGCAGGCTCCGGAGTCTCCTCTCCCCTGAGCCCTGCTTCTCTGACTCCTCACAGAGCATCTCACCCCCAGGACGCCGCCCTCCAGGACCCCCAACTCTGCCCACCTCAGGCCCCGCCCCGTCCTGGGGGCTCCACCAGAATCCGGAACAGCGCGGCAGCGCCCCCGTGTGGCCACAGGGCTGAGCACAGGAGCCCAGAGCTGCCCTTTCTCCTGCTCAGCCAGGCCCTCCCCAGCCTCCCTGGGCTCCCAGTAGCAAGACAGGTCCACTGTCACATTAGGTGTCCTCAAACTGATCCCTTAGTGGGTAACTATGGGCACAGGCCTGAGGGAAGAGCCAGGTGTCTAGGTCATAACAGTTGCTCCTCCAGTTCTGGATCCCATTTCCCTCAATCTCTTTGCATGGGAACTTGGGCTCCAGAGTCCCTGATATTTGCTCCTGCTTCCAGGGATGAAAGTGCCTCTTCCTGAGCATCAGCCCTAAATTCTCCATCCCTAGGGTGAGGGAGGGGACAAATAACAGACTCTCAGGCCCAGTTCTAGACCTTCTGAGTCTTCATGAGAGTCCAGGTGACTCTTCTGCTCCCTGAAGCGGGAACTCCCTGTTCTCCATGTCTTCTCCATGTGGGGTCAGACTATGCAGTCAGCTCTGGGGGAGTGTCTGCTCCGATTGCTCATCACTATGGAATCTGGAGTTCAATTCTGCTCTTTTCTCTTGCTTAGTCATCACTTTCCGGGCGATCCTTACATGCACAAGACTTTAAATATCATTGACATCACATCACCTCCCAGATCTCTTTCTCACCTCAGACATTTCACCTGTGCCCCAGACTTATCTGTCCAACTGCCAACCTCACTTTCAATTCTAATGGATCTGATTCAACTTTCCTAAAGTGAATGCCTGGGATGCCCACATATGGGTCTTCTGGAGTCTTCCCCATGTCACTGAGGCTCCACCTCTCTGCCTGCACAGTCTGAGACACTGAGTGTCATCCTTGACCCTTTCTCACAGCCCAGGAGTAGGAAACACTGTAAAGTCCATGTCTACATATGCACACTCCTGTCACTGCCTGTTATTTCCCTGCTCACCCCCCAACAAAGCCACCAACCTCTCTGTCCTGGGACCTGCACTGGTTTCCTCCATTTCTCTTCCCACCTCTCACCCTTTCATGCTGCACAGCAGCCAGACTGAGGCTACCAGAGAGAAGTCCCACAGGTGTCTATCTGTTCAGAAGGTCTTGTCACCCCACATCTTACTCAGAGAGTCAAACCCTCCCAATATCCTCAGGCCTGGATGATCTGGGTGCACACAGATCCCATCTCCACTGGCCTCTGCTCAGTCCTTGGCCTCCTTGCTCATGTCAGTCACACAGACACATTCCTGCTTAGGCATCTGCATTGGAGGTTGTCCTGCCTGGACTGAACTTCCCTGTACATCACATCCTTGTGGGCAACGTGTCCATCAGACTTTTTCTCAAAGGTCCCTTCAGTGAAACCCACACTGACCACGCTGGGAAGAAAACCACCCTGTCACCTTCCCACATCCCTTACCCACTTCTAACCAGACACGCGTGGTTGACCATCTGATCTGCTGTCACACAGTCCCCAGTCTCCTCTCCCCACTAGGACACACTCTCTGCAGGCAGCAAGTTGTGCATGTTTTTAGTTCACTGAGTTTTCCTAGTTGTATAAACAGTCAGTCACACATCTGGTGCAATAGTTATCAGCTATCTGGTGTGTCATCAGTGTAGAGTATCTCCCTGTTCTAGAGACAGTGTCGGTACTAACGTGACACATTAGAGGAGTTTGTAGGGTTTTTTAAAAATATTTATTTATATTTGTGTAGAAGAACTGGGGTGTAGATCAGAGTGCATGGATGGGGTTGGTAAGAGGATTCACCACAAAGAGTGGGGAGCAGAACAGGCAGATTTAATGGAATACACTGCTAAGGGGAGCAGCGGGCGAAACAGGAGAGGTCTGCTGCACCATAAGTGGGTAGCTCCCTGGCTGGGGATTGAACATGGGGTATAGAGTTAATAGTGCTGAGACTTAACCCCGGTGCCACCAGGGAGGACCCAAGTTCCTAGGCTTAAGGGTCCTATTTTTCAGCCAACTATGATGGTAATTGACTCCATCAACCCATGGGTCTCGATTAGCACCAGCACTGGGATTACTACATTAAAGGTCAGGGTTATGGGGAGAAGCTATAGAGAAAACCAGAAAACTATCAGGAACTTATCTAAATCCATCAGGAAATCATCAAATCCTCTTCTCTAGTAATACCAGGATTTTGTTGGAAAAGATGGAAAGAATAATCCAAAAAAAGTCCTAAATGAGGCCAAAAATCAGATGAGTCTGGAAATCCATATCACCAGACTCCTGCATGCAGGGGATACCCTGGGCCTTGTGGGGCCAATGACAGATGCTCCTGCTGCTCTCAGAGACAGGGACCAAGAGGACATGAGGCCTGGTCTCTAAACATCAAAGAGAATAGGCATAAAGCAAAAAACAAACAAACAAACAAGAACAAAGAAGCAAACAGGAATCTATAGGAAGGCTAGACCCTGAGCTGAGCCTGAGCTGAGCCTGGGCTGACCCGGTCACACAAGCACTCCCTGCCCAGACTACACAAGGCCTGGTGGGGTCTGACCCTGTGATCACAGGCCCTGGTGGCACAAGGTGCTCCTGAAAGACAAAGACAAAGGAGCAGAGAGATGACCCCTTAGGAGTGACCACATCAAAGCCCCCGATGCACTGAACCCCGACCGGACACAGGCCCCGTCTCCCTCGGCTCCTCACAGCCTCTCCCGCCCCCACCTGCACAGACTCAGCACAGCAAACACGTGATTCTGAAAGGTTTCCCATTCATTTCATCTCAAATTTTAGGAATCATTTTTATTAGCCCACCAAACCCATCAGGCAAGCTTATAAACTGTAATTTCAGAACTCAATTATTATTTAAAGGGGAAGTAGTTACTATTCTTGAGGAAAACACAAAGACAGGTAGATAGCAGACTAAGCTGCTTCTGCTGGAGCAGGGAAATCATGAAGGAGAGACACAGGTCAGCATGGGGTGGGGCCTGGTGGGCAGGGCTGGGCCAGTCTTTCCCCTCCTCACATTATCTAATAAGAACAGAAACACATTCTGTTGCCTTTTGCAGCAAAGGAAACCAGAGGATCTTGAAGTCACAAAGGGGGAATTAGAAGAAATCCTGCATCACTCAGCCCCAACAAGGCAGCTGACTCACACTGTGAAGGAAATGGATCAAAAAAGAATTCAAAGTGGGCCTCCCCTGATGGCGCAGGTGGTTGAGCACTGTGCTGTGAAGCTGTCCGCAACCTCTGCAGAGTTGGTTTGATCCCCGCCGGCTGGCAAGGGTTCCCCTTAGCGTGGCAGATCTCTCCTGTCACGCCCACTGCTCCCCTCGGCAGTGTATTTTGTCAGTCTGTCTGTTCTGTTCCCTGCTCTGTCTCTGGTGAATCCTCTCGCCCTCCCGCACATCGGGCCTGTACCCCAGTTCTTGTGTAAATAAATAAATAAATTGTAGAAAAAAATTCAAAGAAACAGGTAAGTGTCGACATTCTCGATAGTCCACCGCATCCTCAGAATGTCCCACTCACAGCTTCCCCAGAACCTGGTCCCATCCTCTCTGCCCCAACCCCTCCCACCACAGGGCTCCAGGGTCTCACCTTTAGCAGCTGTGAGAGGCATATCAGAGCCCTGGGTGCTATTGCTGCCTGGAAGAGAACAAAACAGAACCTGGTGAGAGCCATGAGAGATGACACCACAGGAGGGACTGATGTGGGTGACTCCCCCATGGGCTCCTTCTACACTGTCCCCAGGGCTCAGGGACGAAACCCCTGATCCCCACTGTAGCGACAAGGGCACAGTGCAGGATCTCTATGACCTGAGCAGAACTGGAAGGGAGAGGAGTTCTGGAGTCCTCGGTGGCTTTTTCAGGCATTATTTGGCATTTTACCAGGTACATGGCAGGCGTGGGTGCTGGGGGGCCGGGAGGCTGGCAGGCCTCCCAGGCTCTGCGAAACTTCTCTCTTTACTGAGCTATCTTTGGTGTTCAGTTCCGGTCTCTCGCTTGTTCTCCTGGTGATTCTGTTCCCCAATGCCTCCCTTATAAGCCCTGTCTCAGCCCAGCTGAATCCCACCTTTGTATGCCCACACCCTACTCCAGGTGCCCGCCATCAGGCATGCATTCAGGACTGCAGGGATCCATCATCAATCCTAATGGCAAGAGGGAAGAAAAGCCTGACAATCATTTACCCTACACACACTGACCTCAGCCTAAGTATAGCTTCCTCCTTTTCCTCCTGTGGGAGGGAGCATCATGTGAGACCAGGGAGAAGTCAGGCTATGAAGCCCTAATGGAATCACCAAGTGTGGACCACAGGGAAGTTTCCAGAACTGTGACTGGACACTTAGGGCAAGACCAGGAAATATGAAGAGAGATGAGAGGGGACTGGACCAACTGCCTCCTGGGTCTGCCCTCAGCAGGGACCTTCCCCTCTGCCATTTGCTAGAATCAGGGCCCCAGCACCAGAATTATCAAGGGGAACAATGTGACTCATTTTCAAAAATTCTTCACAAAAGAGGGTTAGCAATCAGCTCCAGACTGGGCAACAAAAGTGTGTGGATGGTTGTAGGGTAAGTAAAATCCATATCAGGCTTTTCACCTTCCCACCATTAGATTAAATGCATGCCTGATGGTGGGCTCCTGGAGTAGGGTGTAGGCATGAATAGGTGGGATACACCTGGGCTGAGAGTGCGCTAGTAAGGGTGGCGTCACGGGGACGCCAGTGGAACAGGAGAACCACCAGAAGGAGAACAAGCAAGAGAACAGCACCAGCAGAAAAGCAGAGGCCACTAGAAAACACAGGACAGCCCAGAAAGAGTGAAGACTTGCTGGGGGCTGGAGGGCTGCCAGTGCCTGCCAGCCTACTGACCCCCACACCCCGCACCCCTGCCTTCCTATACCTGCTAAACTCAATAAAAGCCTGAAAAAGCCACCACGGGCTCCAAAACTCCTCCTTCACTAGGAATCCTCTTTCACCCATCAGCTCGGGTCATAGAGAACCTGCTCTGTGCTCATCCTACCCTTACAATGGTACTCCCATTACCAGGTAGGTCTAGTTCTACCTGTGGCCTCAAAGCCCCCAGTGGATATGACCCCCCCATTTCCTTCCCTATCTGAGCGCTTCTTTCTCCACATCACAGCTGCACCAGTGCAACTCCAGTGAGTGCAATTCCAAGGAGAACCGGGCCAGCAATGATGTCCACGGCGGAGTCGGGGGTCTCAGGAGAGGGATCTAGAAGGGAAGGTGAGACCCTGAGCCCCAGGCCTCATCTTGACCCTCCGAAGGTCTCCAAAAGGGTTCTTGACACCCCTGGGAAGCTCTGTGCCCACATCCCCTTCCTTACCCCAAGTCAGGAATTGCGGGTCCAGCAGCCCGTCATGCTGCACACGGCACCTGTATCTCTGCTCCTCTCCAGAAGGCACCTCCACAGCCACCCACTTCTGGAAGGTTCCGTCCCCCCCAGGCCTGGTCTCCACCAGCTCCATGTCCAGGGTCAGGCCTTTCCCATGTCGCTGCCAGGTCAGGGTGATGTCCGCAGGGTAGAAGCCCAGGGCCCAGCACCTCAGGGTGACCTTCTGGTCAAAGGTGGGGAGGTGGGTCACCTGTGTCTTTGGGGGATCTGAGAAGGGTGAGAAATTACACACTCTGGATTTTTCTCTCATGGACCCCGAAAAACCCTCCTGTGACCATCCTCAGAATGGACAGGGCAGTGGGTTTGGAAAGAGGAAGCACAAAATCTAGAAACCAGCCTGGTCTGGGGAGTCTGGGATAATCTCTTATTCCTTAGAAAGTTCTACAATTACGTGACCACTCTGGATAGGAGGACTCAGTTCTCTGAGGAGGAAAGCACAAACTTGTGCTCCTGACCTGGGAACTCACTAAAGCAGGAGTCAGATCAGAAGAATGTCCTCAGAACAATAACAAGACCCTGAGAGGAAAACTGATGGTTCCCAAGAGGGCTGCCCAGTCAAAAGGATCAGTGAGGGGTGATTTCCGGGCTGGTCTCCCCTCAGGCTCAGAGAAAAACTTTTGAGGAAAAGTGGGGTCCTCTGGGGAGTCAGGAAACCCAGGGGGCTCCTCCTCCCCTGCCCAGAGAGGGGGCGCTGCTGTGACCCTGACTCCACCCACCCCGCGGTGCCGGCCTGAGGGAGATTGGGAGACCCGCGGCCCCTCTTACCTACGAGATGCAGCGTCTCCTTCCCGATCTCCAGGTATCTGCGCAGCGACTCCACGCACCTGCCCTCCAGGTAGTGCCTGAAGCGCTCCGCCTCTCCGGCCGCCTCCCACTTGCGCCAGGTGATCTGCGCGGCCGAGTCCGCCGCGGTCCAGGAGCGCAGGTCCCCGTTCAGGGCCAGGTAATCAGCTCCATCATAGGCGAACTGACTGTACCCGCGGAGGAGGCGCCCGTCGGGTCCCACGTCGCAGCCAGACATCCACTGGAGGGTGTGAGAGCCTGTCCCCGCCCGTCACCCCGCGTCACCCCGCGTCACCCGCGGTCACCCCGCCCCCCCCGCCGGGAATAAACCGAAACTGACTCGGGAACCTCGCGGGGAACGTCCCGGGGCTCGTCCCGGGTCGAGGGTCCGGCGGGTCCCCCTGCCTCGGGGGGCGCTCGGGCCCGGGGTCTGGGGTCCCCGCCCGCCCGCGGGGGTGGGGTCGTGAGCGCCCCGGGCCCGTCCCGCTCACCCGCCGCGCTCTGGTTGTAGTAGCGGCGCAGGTTGTTCAGGCTGTGTAGATACCACGCGGTGTTGTTCCTGGAGATCCCCGTCTCCCCCTCCCAGTACTCCGGCCCCTCCTGCTCCATCCAGGGCGCCCGCGGCTCCATTCTCGGCCCGGGGGAGTCGCTGTCGAACCGCACGAACTGCGTGTCGTCCACGTAGCCCGCCGAGATGATGCGGGGCTCCCCGGGGCCGGGCCGGGACATCGCGGTGGAGAAATACCTCAGGGAGTGGGAGCCTGGGGGCGGGAGGGGAGACCCGGGCTGGGGAGACGAGGCGGGAGGGGAGGGGGGCCAGGGGGCTCCTGAGATTGAAATGGGGCAGCGGATGAGAAGGCTGGACGCTGAGAGGGACAGAAAGGGGTCAGGGCATGGTGGGGTCACGGAAGACAACAGAGTCAGCAGTGGGGGTGAGGAGTCCTTCCTGGGTCCTTGCCCCCGCCCGGGGTTCGTCTACTACCCCCCTCCTCAGTGGCCTTTTCTCTCCAGAGCCTGCACTCACCTGCCCAGGTCTCTGTCAGGGCCAGGGCCCCTGAGAGCAGCAGGAGGGTTGGGGGCCTCATGACGGGTGCTCTTGAGGTCTGGGGAGACTCTTGAGTCCAGACTGTCTGTCAGCAGCTGTGATGCTGATTGGTGGCTCTGGACCCTCCAGGCAATGGGGAGTGAGAACTGGGGTGAGTCACCGGTATCCAGGAAGGAAGACCCCACACAGGTTGTGAGAAAGAGATGTGAAACTGTGGGGAGATGGGGCATCCCCAACAGTAACCTTCCCTGCCCCATGCACAGCCCAGAGGGCTGAGACCCTGAGAACCACACCCTATACCTGGGACTTTGCTGCCCCTCCTCTCCTGCTCCAAGGCCTTTGTCACACTGTTGCCTTCCTGAGTCCTGGCCAGGGACTGGGTCAGCGATTTTTCAAGCTTTTTTGTTTCAGGATCTCTGCAGTTTTACAAACTAGCTAGGACCCCGGTATAAGTTTAGGAGGTTATAGCTCTCAGTATTTACTACATGAGGAATAAAAACAGTTTAAAGATATTTTCATTTAATTTAGAATAATATTAATAACCCAATGTGTGTTCAAAGTGTCTTAAAGAAATGTAGATATTTAATGAAAATAATCACGGTCATGAGTGGATCTTTTACAGCTTATATTTTGCAATTATTTTTCCTCTCTATCTCACTAGAGGCATGTTGGATTGTCCTAGTTTCTCCTGCATTTACTCTTTGTTTTGGTGGGCCAATGAAGAACTATACAGCCTCTCTGAAATATGTGAAAATAGCATTTTAAGTACTTTTCACATAATTATGACTATTTAACTTTGTTCCACTTCTGCAATAAATTGAAACTATACAAGTGGTGGTTTTTCAAATGTTATTTGCAAAGTGAGTGGTAGAACAGTATCATTGAATGTTTTCTATTCTGTTATATTAATTCCATAGGCCTCTACTGATTATTAATCTTGTACTAATACATGACTTTAAAAAGTGATGCATTGTCTTACCAGGTTATATGATCTTTATGTTAATTATTCTAGAATCAAATTTTGAAAATCATACATGTTTCATGTTCCAAAAATCCCCAAAGAAAAGTAAGCGGCTACTGGAAGTTGTCAAGTTTATAGTGATGGGACACAATTTTCCACTATCTGGTTTTCACTTGGAGCTTGTACTTTATCAAGGCAGTTAATTACTATCAGTTGTCAACTGTCACTTGATTTTCTAAAAGGGACACATTCATTTTCTATAAAGTTTGTACAGATTAACCAAATCTAAATAATGATAGTTTTTGTCATTCATCCCTTCAAGCACAGATGGTAGTACCCCCTCCCAAAAGGTCTAATTCTCCTTATACAAATTAGTTTCCTTGGGCCATAGTACTTTGGATTGTGGCAGAAGTGACTTCTATGTGCTCTATGTCATCAGAACCTGGGTTTACTTTGTGTCCAGATTCTTTCTCTCAGGCCTGAGGAGATGCTCCCTGCTTTCCTGAGCCTCCCTGGCAAGGACCCCACAGCTCTTCATACTAGACAGGGTGGTCTCTGTCCACGTCCCTGCTCCCTCCCTTCGGCTCCCTCCTGTGCAGCCCTTCTCCTCTGGGCTCAGGTGCTGGCCTTGCCTATGGAAGGTTGACAATGAGCGGTCATCACCAAACTTGAGGCCTCATTTATTGCTTTTCTGTTTCTCATTGTTAACAACAGCTGACAGTGTTTTTTACTCTCTCCTGGCCTGAAAATGCTTTGTTTGTAACATTTTTATTTTATTTTATTTTTTAAAGATTTATTTATGCATATAAGAACCGGGGTACAGGCCAGATATGCAGGAGGGTGAGAGGATTCACCAGAGACAGAGTGGGTAACAGAACAGGCAGACTGAAATACACTGCTGAGGAGAGCAGCAAGTGAGCAGGGAGAGGTCTGCTCCATGTGGGTGTCTCCCTGGCCAACGGGAAATCAAACCTGCACTGCAGAGGCTCAGGAGAGCTTCACAGTGAGTGCTGTGTTCAACTGGCTGTGCCACCGGGGAGCCCCAACATTTTTATTTTTGTAGTGAATACAGTTTATATCCTAAGAACTGTACCATATATATGTGTGTACACACACACATCATAACCAAAATAAAGCAGATCTTCCTAAATTTTGAAAGGGACATCAGGTGGTGGTCGTCAGGCTCAGCGTAGAGCTGAAGGGCTGGGCTCCATGTCTACTCTGGACAGGGCCCTCACAGCCCTTCCTCCCTCCTCAAGATGCTGTTCTCTGTGGGGCCCATGTAGGATCTCCCCCTTCTCTACTGGGTGTGGGCATTCATTATTATATTGTCAGTTCTAATGCTTTTTTAAAAATATTTATTTATACAAGAACCTGGGTACAGGCCAGATATGCGGGAGGGTGAGAGGATTCACCAGAGACGGAGCAGGGAACAAAACAGGCAGACTGACGAAATACACTGCTGAGGGGAGCAGCGGATGAGACAGGAGAGGTCTGCGGCGCCATGTGGGACCCTTGAATGCGGGCAGGGATCAAACCAGCGCTGCAGAGGCTGCAGACAGCTTCACAGTGTGGTGCTCAACTGCCTGTGCCACCAGGGGAGGCCCAGTTCTAATGCTTTTAAGAAGATGGTTTTGTATCTCATACGTTATCTCACATTTTTAGCTCTTTTCAGTGGGAAGGTGTCCATCCATCCAGCCCACCTTTGTCAGGTGGAAATTCTAAGGCAAAATCATTCAGTGACAAGATGGTGGGTCCTAGAGTAGAAGGTCAGAGCCTGAGAACACATGACTGAGAGTGATCTGCCAAGAGTTTGATAGTGTCAGGAACTGTGTAATTTATTTTTGATAATAAATGATTTTGATAATAACTAATATTTGCTATTCACGTGCATACAGAGGATTCATAAATACTCAAGAACATACACAAATACATAAGTCACATCATTCTCAGTCAACCAAGTCACCTCTACTCTGAACCCACTCTCGTCAGCAACTTCTCATTTTCTCCCAGAAAAGCCTATGTATGCATTGATGTGTTAAGTCTGTAAAAGAGCTTGGGCCACAGACCAGGAGAAAATATTTGCAAAATATGACTAATATAATACATGTTTTAGGATATGCATGGAACCCTTAAAATTCAACAAGGAACAAATAACTTTCTAAAACTGAGCATAACTCTGAACAGTTTCCAAGGACCTCATTGATGGCAACTAGGCATATGAACAGAAACTCAACATCAGATGCTGAAAGATATATAACTGCAAGTGCAAATTAAAACAAGGACACGCAATACATACCTATTATATGGCCTAAATCCAAATACTATTACAGCAGCCTCCTTTATCCACATGGGATGTATTCCAAGACCCCCAGTGGATACCAGAACCACCAATAGTATGGAGACCTCTATATACGAAGATTTCCCTGCACATACATACATATGATACATTTACTTTATAAACGAGGCACCGTGTGTGATTAATAACTTTAAAACAGGACAATCAATCCCAACAATGTACTGTAATAAAAGTTGTGTAACTGTGATCTTTCTCTAAATATCTTATGAAAAAATTTTACCCTAGTTTAATTTCAGGAAACTGAAGCCTTGGAAAGTGAAACCTCAGATAAGGGGGGACACTATGCACCAGGTGCTGACCAGGATGGGGAGCAACAGGGACCCCCATTTACTGCTGGAGGAAATGCAAAATAACACAGTCACGATGGAAGAGATAATAACTAATTCTTATTAAGTGAAACACAGAGTTACCCTAAAACCTGCTGATCAGGTTTTTTATTTACCCAACTCACTTTAAAACTTTTGTTCACACAAAACCTGCACAGAAATGTTTATAGCAGAGCACCCCTTAAGTGTGGGCTCCACATGATGACTCCTTCCAGCGACTGCTGTGTGGAAAGGGATACAGGAAAGAAAGAACTTCCCTGGGAGGAAGTGGAGACCCGATCTCAGCCAGGTGGGTGTAGGGGCAAGATGGGTACCAAACAGGTTTTATGATCCAGAAGACGGGTAAAGGAGAGTCCTGGAGCAATCAGTGGGTTTCTCAGGCTTTTATTGAGCTGTTACATATAGAGCAGCAACCAAGTACACGGCATGCAGGGGGCTCCCCATGGGCCGGGAGGCCTCCAGGCCCCAGATAAGCCTTCACTCTGGGCTCCTCTGGCCTCTTTCTCTCCTTTTCTCTCTTCTTCTCTTGCTTTTGCTTCTCTGTGACTATCTCAATACCTTCCCATGTCCCACAAAAGCAAACAAGATAGTTTGCAACAATGTAAAAACTGCAGGTGCCCTATCAGGCAGGGCAATCCTGAGGGTGGAAAGGCAGAACAGTCTGAAAACCATTTACCCTACAGTGGGGAAGGTGACATCATCAGTGAGGATCAGGTGCAGGTGACTCTCCAGGGTGCTGTGCTGAGAGTGGCCCTTCATGTTTCTGTTTTTCCCCAACCCCATCATCCCAGTCAACCAAACTCAATTTTTTTCTTTGATTTCCTCATTAACCCAATGATTTTTCAGTAGCATGTTGTTCAGTCTCCATGTAGTGGACAGTCTCTTTGCTTTCTTTTCATGGTTTATTTACAGTTTGATATCTTTATCATCTTAGGAGAGACTTGGTATGAATGCAGTCTTTATGTATTTTTTTTTTTAAGATTTATTTTATTTATACAAGAGCCGGGGTACAGTCCAGATGCGCAGGAGGGTGAGAGGATTCACCAGAGACAGATCGGGGAACAGAACAGGGAGACTGGCGAAATACACTGCTGAGGGGAGCAGTGGGCGAGGCAGGAGAGGTCTGCTCGCCATGTGGGTTGCTCTGAGGCTGGTGGGGATCGAAGCAGTGCTGCAGAAGCTGTGGACAGCTTCACAGCGCTGAGCTCAACTGCCTGCGCCACCAGGGAAGCCCTTCATGTATTTTTTTAAAAGATTTATTTATTTCTAGAAGAACTGGGGTACAGGCTAGAAGTGTGGGGCAGGGAGAGCATTCACCAGAGACAGAGAGGGAGAAGAACAGGCAGACAGACTGAAAACACTGCTGAGGGGAGCAGCGGGTGAGACAGGAGAGGTCTGCCGCACCATGTGGGTAGCTCCCTGGCTGGCTGGGGATCGAACTGGCACTGCAGAGGACGTGGACAGCTTCACAGTGCTGCCCTCAACCCGCTGCACAACTGGGGAGGCCCAATCATGTATTTTTTTTGATGTTTGTGTTGTGTCCCCTTGTGTGGTTCATCCTGGAGAATGATCCACTT